AATAAAGGTTATCGAAATTGTTTTTGAGTTAGAAGCACTGAAGAGTAAAATTGAGCGTACTTTTAAGAAGTTATCTGTTGCTATGGAAACCAACACTTCTAAATTCCATTTCGATCTGGAAATAGTAGAAGACAAGCCTCTACGTGGGAAGTGCCACTAGAGAGTCCTACAGTATTTATTTTTATTTTATTTATAACCTGTTATCCTATGAAATAGCCAAAACTTGTCCATCAATGACTGGGTGGCATTTCAGTGATATAAATATTGTAAACCTGACATCACTTGATAAAGAATTGTAGTATAAGATTGATCCGTCAAAATATAATTGCTGGAAAGTGTTTATTTGGAAACTGTTGCCAGCCACCTTAACTATTTCTGACTGACTATACCTTGAACGCTTTCTGTATCTCTTACCTCCTGCCACTTCGTCTCTTTTCTTTTGCTAGGTTTTCTCTTCTTTTTTGATGGTCTTTACTTTCCAGAAGAAGCTTGTGCACAGGATAGGCGACCGTGCACTAAGCCTGCAAAATGTCAAACTTTTGTGGCTTTAAATTACAATTTTACCATGTAATACAGCTGTTCCCTAAAGTTTATACCCTCGGTAATTAATTACACATAATTTGTAGACGATATGACTTATGGAGATGTGAATTTAAAACAAAAAACACCTCATTAAGAGAAGACGACCTGCTCAGGCCCCGTCCAAATACGCGGAAAAATTTGAAAACGGAGGTTTCATCCTGAAAACACATCAAAATGTTTTTCTACGCCGGAAAAATTTGAAAACGGAGGTTTCACTCTGTAAACGCATCAAATGTTTTCCGTCCACACTACGCTGGAAAAATTTGAAAACGCAACAATCACCGGTCAATTTGGATTTGTGTTTGAAGAAAACTCCATCAGGGAAAATTACATTATCGTTACGTCATCGTTTTGAAAAGCTCCGTTTTCACTACGTTTTCCGTCCCCACGAAAACGCAAAGCCAGCGTTTTCAAATTCTTCCGGTTTGAAGAGCGTTTTCGAAGAGCTCCGTTTTCGTGACGGATTAGTGTGGACAGTAGGCCTAACCGGAGAAATAAAGCTGCGTTTTCAAATTTCTCCGGCGGAGAAAGGAAGGAGCCTTAGAGAGCTAGCATTTAAACTGCTCGCACACAGAAAAGATATTCAGATTGAAAAATGTCGCTTCTAAATGTTTCACAAAGAAATGAATTGCACTTAGCAACTCCGAGTTCAAAATTTAAAACGTTTCCTGGGTGAATAATGTGTTTGTTGTTGTTTTCGTTTCGCACCTCTGAAACTATCTAAAAGCTTAATTCAACTTGCACTTTCTATTTCAACAAAAAGTGTACTTTCAGACGACTCAATATTTCAATGAAGTGGCAGAGAGGAGGCGCTTAAGCGATTACGTCAATGGCGCTATTTTAATGAAGAACTATAAATATGTCCTTTATTATGATAATCCGCATGCTTATAGAAATTGACTATCTCTATTACAGAAGTAACATTATCACACCATAATGTTCTCAAAAGGCAGATAGGTTAGCTTGCCACTTCTTTTCAAGGAAAAAAGAACCTTTTTGATTGAAACGGAAATCATGAGTTCTTCTTCCGCGGGAAATAGATCTGAAACCCACATCTTGTATCTTGAGGTACAATATCAAGTTTTAGTTTTCACAATACTTCGTGGCAGTCACGCATGCGGTGTTTTTCAATTTCACATTTTCGCTTAAAACTCAATGACAAGTAAAATGCTTGTATGTTAAAAACGCTGACATAATCTATAGCAAATGAACTTATTCTATTTGAATTGACATCCTCGATATCCTTAAGTTAACAAATAACAGTAAAAGCATAACTACGCAATATCTATATCTTAAAAACCAGCATATAAATTCGCATATCTTTCCCTGATTTGAGCCAATTGAGAAATTACAATTTCCGCTCCGAAATACCTTTGGCGGCTTTTCAAGGGTCTTCACAAAGGATTAATGCAAATGACCTCTTATATTCTCCGAGTTGGTCATATCTTGGGTATAATATATTGGAGCACATTAATTATTAATTGCATATTAAGTCATTTTCACAACTTTTTAATTCACCCTTAAAACGAAGGAAACGTACAAAAGAACAGTTAAGCAGGCAAACTGATTCCAGGAAACTAAGATAAACGCAAAAGGAACGAGATTGGTTAAGATTTGGGAGGATTAAGAGAGAGAACGAACGAAAAAATTAATAAATCTGTGGCTAACTTATTCTAGATGCGACATCCATCACTGATTACTTGAAGTTGCAATATCGCTGCAAAGGAAGGAAATGGAACGTTTTACGTCAATCCTTACAAAATAGCCCCACAAAATGTTGCCATTTGCTGGTAAATATAGAGTTTGCTTAGGCCAATATCAAAAACCACGAACCTGAAGAGATAACAATAAGTCCAATATTTTTCAGTTTTGAGAGATGACCAGTTTTAGCTTACCTGCGATACTCTCAATCGTCACTGCAAGGTTTCAACCCATTCTTCAGTTCATTTCAAATTTCGACGAGCGTTGAAGCACATATCAGATCTCCGGCATATCTTAACAGCTTGCAATTGTCCAAGCGTAGCCGTTTTTCTTTTATACACTTCTTTATTTATTTTCAATTTGCGTTAAAACCATCATTGTCGGCGGAGATGAAGATTTTGCTTTTGAAGCAATCCATAGCGCTGTTTTGTCTACTTCTGACCGAGGTCTGTTCTTCGGAGAATTTTCAAATCGTCAGGGGAACACCGTGGGATTCTTTTACGATTCCGCCAACGAAATGTGACGAAGACAACAATGCTTTCGATTACTGCGGTGAATATAATGCCACTGCAGCGAATGGTAAACGATGTGAATGTGTCTGCCGTGACAAGCAAGCGACCTTTTCGGTTTACAAGCAGTCTTGGTCTTGCCTTAGAGATGAAGATACAAGAACGCATTTTGGTAAGCTCTGCTATTAAGGCTATCAGCCATCTAATTTATCTTTTTAGTTTAAGCTACCTGAAATTTGTAACAGTTCCAATCACAGATGAGCAAGCTTGTTTTAATTCAGTAGCTCTCAAAGCTTGATAAGGGCTCACAGAATTACCTTCGCTGGCAAAAGTTGACGATTTGAAGCATGTTTTAATTTTGTGTCTAAGCCAGATTTCATTCAGTAACATAACTGCGGGCTTAATGTTTCTCTAACATGCTTTACAACTTAGAAAAATGTATAAGATAGCGATGTTATAGTTCTACTCTAGTTCCTTTTTATGTGTTTCTTCTCTTTACGATATCGTGATATCTTTCAAAGTATTAATAAGATTAAGAAGATTAGTAGCTCGCTGTCGTAATGACGTATATTTTTCATTTCTAACAAATATTATCCAATTAATACATATTGAGATTAAGAGTGCTACCAGTGGCTCTCACGAGAGCTGAAACGTGAGGGAACGGAAGGGGATCAAGAGAATCGAGTGAATACTACCTCAGCAAAAGTTTTTTCCCTTAAATTTACTTTTTGTAAACATGAACATACGTGAAGACATTTGACTTGTTTTCGTGTCAGCCTTTGTTTTGTTTTCTACCAATGACGTGTTAGACAAACATAACCCAATATCAAAAATTCAAGGAAGAAAATGGCGCCTTCAAAATGTTTAAGGCGAAATCTAACAGGAAATGGAGCAATTTCAGTTTTAATGGCCAAAAACCTTGCACCAAAATAATTTTAAGTATTTTATAGTCCTGTTTTCATTTTCTTAAATACCGAAAACAATTTCCCCATGGGAACGCGAGAAAAGAAATTGTGCAAACACAGGTAAAATTTGATCATCAGTTCCATTTCACTAGTACTTTCAAGTGTTTCATACGAAGTTCAAAATTTGTTTTCGACGTTTGGTGTTGTTAGAAATGAAATTTTTTGAGATCGAAATATTTAAAATAGTCGTACAGAAGTTTGCAATACAATGTAAATAATCTTGGTATAAAGTTTTTGTTCACTTGTTACTCGAACTTCTGGTGGATTCCGACTTAATAACATTCATTTTTTTGAAAAATTTTTCAGGGTGTAGCCAGCCAACTTTCTTTGATAAGGAGAGAGATGACGATAAGCTGAGCTTGCTGGGAAGTGGTAACAAGAAAAAATTAGATTTGACGGGAAGTAACTGTAAAATAAACACGATTTCTTCATGGTACATGGACTGCGATGGAAATAAAGACACAGTTGAATCAATGGAAAACACGTTTGATATTGAAGAAGACCCTCGCAATAATGAGCTTGAGGTAAAAACAAGCAAAATGTGTGGAAAAAGTCGTAGTTTTTGACTCAGTAATTATTACAATAAGTGTTGTTTGCTCCGTTTAGGGAAAGTTTTATCAGAACATTTAACGTGAGCTGGGTCTGATGACTGCGTCTGAGGTGCATACCGATCGACGACACGTTTTCGTCTGGCATTTTTTTCTGTCTATACCGCCGTAAACTAGCGCTTATAACCCTCCCCCCCCTCCACAGTTACAGGTCACTCTACCTGTAAGTCCCCGGATAAAGGCCTCTTTTAGTTTAAAATGAAATGAATCTATAATGATGTTTTAGAACTTTAAAATTCAATGAAGAATTTATTTCGATCAGCACTGCTGTAGCTTATTGAAAAACGGTTTTTTTTTATTCCGCTTAAAAGCCCCCTCGGATATAGGCCCCTCCGTGTTTAAGACTATCCAAAACCCCTTACAAAGATTTTAAGCCCAGAGATTATAAGAGAAGTTTACGGTTTTCAAATGCCGTATCTATTGCACCAATCTATTGCACCAATAATGCAAGAAAGATTTCCAGTTTCTTTCCCTTTCTGTTGCAAAATGTCAGTTGTGTAGAACGCTGGATTTGAAAATCCTGTAGTGGGGGGATGGGGAGCCAAATAGAAGGCAGGGGGGCTTCACAAGGAGCAAGTCTTAAGTTAGAGAAGAGTCCTCTATAGAGATTTTGGGACGGGAATGATTTGTATGAATTTTAATTTATAAAATATTTAAGATGGTACACGCACTCTTGTTGGTGGATAGGTGGTTTTGAATGAGAGTATATAAACAAGGTTGGGACAAGAAATATTTTTTTAAAGCAATAGACGACTTGTTTTCGTGTTTACATAGCCTCATCTAAACACTCCAAATTGCCATAGCAACGTTTGGCGCGAAATTTCTCGATACAATATACAAGTTAGCCTGCAAGCAGGCTCACCTTTGAGTCACACGCGCGAGCGGCGAAGAGCAAAGCGATCCGGCGGGAAGGAGTCTGGTGAAGAGGCGCCCGCGGCATCGCAGCTCGATTTCGCGCTCGCGGCTACACCGCGCGCGCTTGTGCTCCAACGTGAGCCTGCTCGCAGGCTATATACAAGTCAAAAACGCAAGATTGGGGAGTAAGTGTAATGTGTCACCCTTGATATTAAAAGGTAATGAAATAGTACACTCGTGAAATTAAGAAATCTCACGGACGTGAGATTATTTCCATATTTCACTCTTCGTCATATGATTACCCATCGTTCTAGTTTTAGATTTAGACCTTAGCTGTATCTTAAGTTTTTAGCTTTTACTACTTTCTGTATTTTAGACATTTAATGTATAGTTTTAAATTTTGGAGGATCCTCCTGAAACCACCTCTAGGTAATTGGAGGCCTCCTCTTAAAGTATTAATTTATTATAATTTATAATTTATTATTATTCATATTAATGTTTTGTCATGTTTCAAACTAGGTTGACGATCTTCCCACAAACAGCCCACTCGCAGGAAGAATTATCAACCTGGGAATAAGTTGCAGCCCGGAGGGTCAACAAACCAATCAAAACTACTGCCTGTTGTTCAAGTTGAAAGGAACAACCAGCTGTAAGTTTTTACCATGGTTGCACGTAAAAACTGCTGTGCATTCACGCCTTAAAATTCCGCTATAATTTTAACGCAAGTGGTACCATTATATTTACTGTAGCGACATTGGAAAATAATAACGCGAACTGAGAGGAACTTTCAACACCATTCACCATACCACGGGTATTAAGGCAAATTAAAATGTTACTTACAATCACATAAGCTTTTAACTTAGCACTTTTATAATTCAAGAAAAATACCTTACCAGTGAAACTGACAACAATCCAGTTAGCTTAGCTATTCACAGACCTCTTGGCAGCGCCATCTTGAGCCTGTAACGACCAAAACGTTAACTCTTATCCGCACAATATAGTAATGTCCGGCATCTTGTTTTCAGAGAGTAACAGTCGCCAAACATGGAAACTTAAATTCGCACTTCGTCATATACGGAAAGTCTCTCTTGGCCATTTATAGAAACTGTGATGCCCTTCCATAAAGTATCGGTTATCCAATCATAATTTAGAGATTTGATGGTATTGCTACTTTAATACATAGGCCCTATGACAGTAACGCAACCAACAACAACAACAACAACAACAACAGTGGTCGACATGGTGTTAAAATCTGCTCTACCAGAGGCAGGCCTGGGAATGAATCCAACTCAGGTACCTTTTGTTAACATAGCAATGCAAGCAAGAAAATAAACTTGATTTAGAGTCAGTAATTCCACGTGTTATCATTTTTTTAAAATCCTGCGTTGTCAAGAAAGATATGACCTTAAACTCTGATATCTCATACCACGTTTTGAAATGTTAGTAAATAAACAACCAAAGGGGTAACATTTGTTCCTTATCTCGTGGTTTTTTAATGTTGATAGGAGATGGCCAAGCGACCATCATCTTAAATGTCGACTTTTCATTTCAGTTGTTTGAAACGATAAGTAAAACAGTAACAATTTGCTTCACCTTGAGGCAAATATAAGTTATTTATTTGTGTAACGCGGATATTTGGCCCGTCTGTTTTGTGTACTAAAAAATGCAAATAATCTTTAAGGTTTCTCTCTCGTTTCTGGCTCTCGATTATTTTAATTCTCTTTTCAGTTGTCACCTGCCAAAACTGGCAAAATTCCAGTAACTTTTTTTTTACCCTGATTTACTGTATCATCTTAAAAGCGAATGCCGATCTTTTAATTTTTCTCCTTGCAGGTTTTTACTCCTCCAAATGTAGCTGCTGACCAAAGCATTGCCGATGACGGCGGCCCGGCATCTCTGGGTGTTACTGTGGGAGTAACAGTCGGTATTATTCTTATTGTTCTCTTGGTTGGAATCATAATTTACCAAAGGCACAGTGCGAGGTAACTATACTTTGATATACATCTACACCTTTGTCGCAAATATTTGGGACATTTTTCTCAATATCAGCGTATGTGCATCTACCTCATTTACGCTGCTTCTCCCCCCATGAAAGATTCCTTCAGCTCAGTACAATAAGGGTACAATAATGCGACCCATGTCTGTGAGGTTATGGCTTCGAATCCCTTTGGGGACTCAGATCCACACTTGCTAAACAAATTTTCAAAACGTTTTGGGAATAGTTATGCTTTAACAAAGCAGAACTGCTCTTTTTTTTTTTAAAAAAAAACAACAACAAACAAACAAACTTTGTGGCTTTTCCTCGCAGAAAACATCCTCGCACCATCTCTGAAGTTCAAAGTTCTCAATCAGACTCAGGATCCCAGCCTCGTGATCAAAATGAGGGCTACGAGACACTCAGTACCTATAGATCCGGTAAGTGTGATTCTTTCGTGTAACATCACAAACATGCAGCATTTGACACATACCCGGTAATGATCCGAAACGCCCCCTTTCTAATAAGCTCTTTTTCTTGAGTGCAGCTTTTTTTTTTGTAAGGGCCCCTATTCCAATATGCATTCCATCCCAATAAGTGTCCCCCCCCATCGCAAAACTAACATTCAAGACATTGACGTAGAGTAGACTGACTAGACGAATGTCTGCTTTATAATCTGAACGTATTATTGAACATTATGACTATCAAAGACCCTATTATTACGTACAGTTGTTGAGGGAAAGTATCTGTTGTTGTTTTGTGTCATAGTGTTACACTGCATAGTGTTGTACCCCATTCAAATGTATGTGTTCAAAAAGATACAAACGTCCCATCCCTAATTAGCACCCTATCTCCGATATAAACGCCCTTCCTTGAACTACCAAAAGTAAATGGAATCATAACAGTCCAATGCGTAGGCCTTTACCATGCGGTTGAAAGTTAGATGAAGTTGTTCGCGTACCTGACAGCCATCTTGGAGACCTCTGCTCCTCCCTTGTCGCTCGACATTAAGCCTCACTCCTACTTCCTAAGAGGGTTTTTTCCTCTCACTTCAAGCCTCCTCTGTTTTCTGAATCCAGGATGGACCTCACCTGCTAACAAATGCACTCGCTCGTCAAAATACTCCTGTATGACAGGCTATATTGCAGCCTGATTAGGTCATAGTCATTGGTTTGTCATTTAAATTTTTCGACGGGGTGGGGTAAGGAAGATGGAGGGGAGGGGGAGGGAAGGCTGTTGTAGTATTGTAAACAACCTCATTTCCGGGCTTTTCCCTTTAAAATTGGCCCTGGAAACGAGGTTTTACTGTAAGTTTTAATTTAGTCAAATACAATAGTTTTCATATTTGTTCTTCTTGTTTAGCAATATACAGTTCAAATTACGACGTCCCTAACGGCGGTGGATCTGAAGACGAAAGGGCTCATTTGCGTTCCCCTCGTGCACCCAGTACCTCTGAAGGACTTGATAATAACGGTCTCGACAGAGAGGAACCATTTTACAGTACCGTGGACGAATTATGTTCAGAATGCAGTGGCAAACCAGGAGAATATGTCGATCCTGCTTCGTCAGAAAGGTCCCGCGACTTTCGTCCCTTCAGTGTGGAACAACATGTGTATAATATGATGGAGGTCCTAAATACTAACACCTCAGACAGCCCTTGTGATCATGGTTCCGATGAACGGAACAACGACCATGTTCCTTTGAGCGTAGAACAACGTGTGTCTAACATGATTGAGGGTCAAAATACTGACACCTCAGGCAGCTCTTATGAATATGTCGATCCTGCTTCGTCAGAAAGGTCCCGC